CCAAGCATTGAGCACAACTCCAACATCATGGCATTCTTAAACTCCGTGCCTCGATCAGATCGGATGAGGCGAGGCAGGGTGCGCGATCTCAACACGCACCGCAGGAAAGCTCTGCGCACATCGGTATGCGTGAGAGTTTTCATGGGTTCCAGAAGCACTGCGTGGCTGAGGCAATCAAAGTACGTAATACTGTACCGGAAGCCATCGCGGTCCTCCCGATTGGGGCCTTCGCAGTCGACGGAAACTTCCTGCCAACACGCTTCTGCGAGGCATTTGACAGGTTTCGCTTCGACTTTCGTGGCTCGGGCCCTGCCCTTAACACACGCGAGGCATTTTGCAACCCACAGTTTGACGTCTGATTCCATTCCTGGCCACCAGACGGCCCTTTCAAGGAGGCGGTAAGTGACTTCCGCTGAACGGTGCGCCCCCAAGAGGCCACAATGGACAGTCATGTAGCAGGACTTCCGCCACGTGACGCCATTGGGCCCGGCGATTCCGTTAGGGACGACGGGTACGACAACCGTCTGACCCGTCTTAATGGTCACTTCCCTCTCCAAGACTCCGTCCGAGCCAAGCTTAAAAGGGGCTTCGGGCTTCTTGACCGAAGCAGTAAGAGACGAATCTCTACGTTGAGCCTCGTGCCAAGCCGTACGGAGCGCTGGGGTAACGCCAAATTCGCAGACCCCGGCGCCATCCCTGGCCGCCAAGGCCAACTCTTCCCTACGATTCACCGGGTCATCCCTGTCCGACAGCACAGGGAAGGTGCCGAGGCTGAGGGGACCGGATCCCCCCGCCGCGGAAACCTTAACCCGGCAAGTCCGCACAGAATGGGACTTTACGCAGAACGGACGGTGCTGGGAGTACAGCTCCACGACCACCCGCGGATCCTTAGTAGCAGACCCCACAAAAGCGAGGGTCCTACTAAGCCCTCCTTCCTTGACTTCGATTTTCTTCGAGAGCTGGACGGCCGTCCAATGGCCTTCCTCTCCTGAACACTGGAAGGGCTATGATAGGAGAAGCCCTGAGGGACTTCCGGTGCCCAAGAGACTGGACTCCGTCCCCATCATTCCAACCTTCTACGCGGTCAACCTCTCCTTTAAGGCCAAGGAGGCAACTGAACGCTTCCCGGAGGCGAACTTCGCCCTCCTGGAGGTTCCAGATGCGCTCGCACTCGGAATTGACCACGTGTCTGTGGCTATGCCAATTGGGTCGGCCGCCCAGTTGAGAGAGCTCGGCCCACTCAAGCAAGACGGGAAGGCCTGATGCCCTTGCAGGACTTCGCCGGAAGCATTAACGACCCAGGAGCTCCATAAGGAAGGGCCGTCTTTCTCGCACCCTTCGACAGGCAGCTCCAGGTCGCCCCCAGTCCAAACCTTAGCCTTGATCCTCCCGTACACAGTGGGCAGGAGCCCTTCCACGGGCTTTTGGAGGAAACCCTTGGCCCATGCTCGGATAAGGTCCGTATCAAGGTCCACCGAGCCGTCGGCCAGGCTAGCGGACAAGAGAACGTTCACTTCCAGTGACACGCTCAGATCCGAAGACTCCGGGCCCTCCACGGCCTCCTTTTCGGCCTGGGCCTCGGCAATCTCGAGAGCAGTCTCCTCCGCCTCCTGCCGGATGCACGAAGGACACCTAGAGAATAAGTAAGTTCTCTTTCCGCAGGCGCAGACGCCTTCGTGGTCCCAAAGCTCCCGCGAGGGCGCGTCAACGAGACCACGCAAGGAAACGTCCGCGACCTTGGAAATCCCTTCCAGCTTCAGGGACCCAAGGACCTCCGCGGAAGCGGCAATCTTGCCCACTATCCCGTATCCTGGTATAGGGGGCTCAGGGAACTCACGCCCCATCTCTGGGCACGCTTCCGCTACCTCTACGTGGGTAGAGTGCGCTTTCCAAACCTTAGGCTTAAGGCTCCAGATACCTTTAATCCCTGCCCAAGCGAGGCCCGCCGAACGGGCTTCCTTGCGCTGCAGGTTACGCGCCTGAAGGGTGACTTCAACCACCAGCGGCCACCGCAAAGCAGCGGTGACTACTCCTCCTTGCCCAAGTCCCACCAGGAACGCAGGGGAAAACGCTGCAGCTTCGCGGAGCACCTTCGCGCAGGAAGTAAGCAGATCAACGCGAAGCTTTTTGACCTTCTTAGGCCCGGTAAGCTTGCCGGTCATACCATCGAAATGGGAAGCGACTCCGTCATCGTCTTCGAAAGGGCCCCAGCAGCCCCTCACTGCTACCGAGTGGCCTGGGATTCCCGAAACGAAGACCTCACGGATTTCCGAAAGCGCTCTTTCTTGGTCCTTCCAAGGGGCATAATCGAAAACGATCATAACACGGACAGGGGAAGATCCCGCGATCCCAACCGGAACCGCAGCCGCGGTCGCCAGGGCAACCTGCGCAGCGGGGTCGGGAACCGCATCTTCCCCAACCGCCCAAGGAACAGGGCCGTCGCCTTCGGTCCCTTCTCCGAGGTACTGGTCCAGGTCGAACCCCTTAAGCTGGCCAGTCATCCCGACCAAGTCCTTGGTCCGGGCAGCCAGGAGCTCGTCCCTGCCCTTCGGATTCCTGGAAAAAGAGTCTCCCAGTGTCGCGCTGCGACCACTGAGACTCCTGATTTCAGAACCATCCATTAGGATCTCCGCAACCCATCGAACCAACTTCTGGTCCGACCCAATGTCAGAGGACTGAGCCCTCGTAAGGTTGGCGTGGTCCGTCCAACACAGGGTTCGGATAGTACCGAAGACCTTTCGGGTTGCTCGCTTGACCTCGAGCTGCGCGAAGGCTTCTTGGATCAGTGGCGGCCAATTCTGCTGCGCAGGGGTCAAGCTCTTCGAGTGCGTCATAAGCACCTTGATCTTCGAGAGATCCCTGCTCATTTGCACTACCGAACCCCCTACAGCGATACCGCTGGCATCCGCTATCTGCTCAAGCGGACAGGAACCATCAGCTGCTGACGCCTCATCGAAGGCCGCCAGGCTGATGTGGTGGCTCATCATTTTCTTGATGGCCTTGAAAGCCTTGCAGCCAGGAGTGGTGCCTGATCCCAGGCCACCCTCCGGGAACTCCGCTCCCGGTTTCTGCCATTGGCCCAAAACCTTAGCGGCATGGCCGTATTCCGCTGGCAGATAACCTCGAAGCCAGTTCGCACATCCGAGGAATTGCTGGATGTGAAGCTTTTCCTTGAGCGGCGGGAAGTCCACCACCGCCTGGCACCGTTCCTCGTCGGGCGCACTCCCGTGCCGCCCGATCCTGTGCCCGAGGAGCTTGCCCTCTGACACACAGATCTCAGCTTTGGCGACACCAAAGGAAAAGCCGAAAAGGATGCTCTTATCAAGGAAAGCTTCCAGGGAAACCAGATGGTCGAGGAGGTGCGGGCAAGCGCCCTTGTGCCTCGCACCCATATCCTCCCGGAGCTTATCATAATAATAGTCCGAGGGAGGTTCTTCGATCATCCTTTCGATGTCGGCCGATTCCACTATGTGGTACACCGGCTCATTCCTAGTGTCCACTCTGGAACCACTAGTGACGTCTCGGCCGTGGCTCCCTCCGAGCCCTCTCGTGGCGGAACCCGCATCCCATCCTGCCCAGCGCGGCCCCGTCTTCGTCCTGAAGACCGCAAGGTTGGACGTAACGGGCACAGCTGACCAGTCAACAGACTCGGGCCAAAGTCTAAGGTCCCGGGTCTGCCACAGCCGCCACGGTCCGCCTGAAGACTTCAGGAGGCACGTCTCGTACGGAAGCCTTTCGACGTCCGGTCGATTCTCCGGATCACCTTCGCCCTCCAGGAAGGAGACGGCATCCGGATCCGTAACCACGGACTCCGTGGCCCAAGGCCCCCCTAAAACCGTGCTTACGGCGGCAAGGGCGAAGATCGCCCCGACTCTTAGACCCTTTCGCCAGCCCCTGCTGTGCGAGCACGCGCCGCAGCCCTGCAGGCCACAGACGGCGGTCCTCTCGGTGGACCCGCACGCAAAGCATCCAGGGAAGGCCGGGTCGGGTCTCGACGCCTCCGCACTCGCACGCGGTGGTCTGCGCGAGCCCGGTCCGAACCTCGCCTACGACAGCCCCCGGAGAGACAGTCGTGTCCTCTTCGGCTACCAGCAAGATCGAACCTTCCTCGGCTCCGGTGGGCCACAGCCCAGGCACTGCTTCGCAGTTAGAGGACTCCACGGGGAGGACTGCCTCCGTAAGGGAGCCATCCTGGCCTCCACTGCCTTCCCTCGTCTTAGTGATTTACGAAAAGTGGTTAAAACAATCATATATTCGGGCATAGCCCAATCAATCAATATGTTATAAAAAAAAAAAAAGCAATCTTCAAATATTGAAGCTTCACTTGCAATCACTCGGACACCTTCGCTATTTTGGCACCTTCGGACTGCGATCAGATCAAGGGGAGAAACATGTGCACCACCGACGATCCAAGGATAACACAGGCGAACCTGTTTCCTTCAACGGACCCGTCATTCCCGGGCGGGTGGGCGGGAGAAAAATTGTTCAGTCAACGGTCACTGCAATGTGTTTCCCAGCTATGTGCATGTGCTGACACGTGACCTACGGACACACTGAACTTAGGCCAAAGGCTTTTGCACTCGAACAACTGATTCCACGTCAAAGTAAAAGTGTGACATGAAATCAAGAGCGCACGGATTTTAAATAAGTTGTAAAATTTGAAATTCCTACGTTTCGCGTCGCCTCTATGGGCGACTATAAATCAAAGACAACTCTGTCCGCCCGCGGAGAACGTCGTCTTAGTGATTTACGAAAAGTGGTTAAAACAATCATATATTCGGGCATAGCCCAATCAATCAATATGTTATAAAAAAACAAAGCAATCTTCAAATATTGAAGCTTCACTTGCAATCACTCGGACACCTTCGCTATTTTGGCACCTTCGGACTGCGATCAGATCAAGGGGAGAAACATGTGCACCACCGACGATCCAAGGATAACACAGGCGAACCTGTTTCCTTCAACGGACCCGTCATTCCCCAGCAGACGTCCGAATGCAGTCACAAGAAGATCGGAGGTGCTTTGTCCTTGTAGGACGTAGCGAGAAGGCTCCACGGAAGATCATCCACGGACAAAATTTCCGAAGTCAGGTCCGATGCAATCTGACTGCAGTCGACAATCTTGCCTCCTATCAGCTTTGCCGCCTCAGCGCATTCTCCCCTGCTAGGGAGATCAGCGATATTGCTCGCAGAAGGAACACGCTCCAGCCATGAAATGACTCCGTCATGAGACTCACTGGCGTAAAAGGAGCAGGCCAAGGAGAGGAGGGTTCGGCTCGGACTGCTCGCCTTAATGCATACATAGCGCGCCGCATCATTGTCGACATAGAACACGCATCTGCGGCACTGCAGGTGGTCCTTGAAAGCTCTCCTTGCCAGAACCAAAGCAAAGGCCTCGGCCTGTGAAATGACTTGTTCAACTCCTTCATCAAGCCAAAACTGCACAAGGTGATCATCTACAATCCCGCCAGCTACCAGCCTCTCACCAGAGACAGGGTCTGCCAAGACAATGCCCCATGCCGCCACGCCATCTTCGTAAGAGGCGTCGCTGAAGACTGACACCGGCCTCCCGCCTGACCTCAGCCTGATGACCTTGGGCTCCAAGCTCAAAAGCGCAGACTCAAGGTAGCGGCCCAAGGACTTCACCTCCTCGTCAGGCTGATCCCGTGGAAAGTGATAAAGGTTTGACAAGGCTCGCGCAGCAAATTTCAAGGAACGGCCGGAAGCGAAGCCCACCATGAAGTTCAGTTGGCCATGAAGGGATGCAGAGTCACTCTTGCTCACAACCCCACTCGCAGCCATTCTCCTGGCTGCCTCAACGAGCTTCTGGACCCGGCTGGGCTTGTTCTCGAGCTCGAGGATGTCATCCATGATTCTAGAAACGCCCAGCCGCATGCCAAGGAGGTTGAAGGTTTCCTCAAAAGGCTGACCCTTGTCGTCACCGACGGCATAAGACCATCCCAAGGAGTCAAGCAGGGTTTCCACCGAGAGGCTGCACATCCTAGAAGACTCAGCAGGCTCGATCATAGGATAATCATCAAAATACACGCCTCCTATGACGGCGCAAAGGTGCGAGGCCAGATGTAAGAGCGACCTGGATATGCGATTAAATCCAAACACGGCCGCGCATGCGCCGAACGGCATGCTCCAAGTGGTAAAATATCTGTTGCGGCTGGTGTTCGGGTCCCATACCATTATGACGGCTAGGGGCAAGTGAGCGGCCAATATGGGAACCTGCTTATACGCCTTTTCCAGATCGAGACACCGTCCAAGCCAGCGCCGCCCCGATCGAAAGTCACTGTGCACAGCCCCACTCAGCACTGTCCCGTCGGACAGCTCGACATTGACTGCACCCGAGTCGTCCACGGAGTTCGCCAGAAACCTTATCAAGGAAACAAAGTAGTCGACGTCATGCAGCTGCAAGCGATCCACCGCGTGGTAGGCAGAATTTATGGCACTCTCCTTGAAGTCGTCGATGGGGCGATACTTCAAAGCATCGCCTGCACCTTGCTTCACCCCAAAGCGCCGGCTGCAGCAGATGTGAGAAACTCCAAGGGCCTTCTTAACGTCCTCTTCCGAATCGTAGGGCCCCGAGATGAAGCCCCTCTCCACCTCCGAAAGTGTAGCCTGCCAGATTTTCTCGGCTAGGACGGGGTCGTCCCCAACTCTGCCCTTCGCCGCCAGCGCAGGGTTCCTCCACACGGAGGAAACAAGAAGATCATCCAACGTTGTGGTCGCCGGCTGCTCCTTCCACCCATACAAGGAAGACTTACTAGGCCTACCGACCAGTGGGACGCCCTCCATGAGCTCAGCGACCGTGATGTCTGGGAACCCGGTCTCCTCAAGGAGCTTCTTCCACAACAAGATGTTCTTCCCCTTGAGCACCTTTTGGGCGTGCTCCGGAAGGGAGGCGTGAAAACGCTTCTCCTCGACGGCAAGCTCACGCTTCAACGCTGAAAGCTTTTTCTGAGTGTCCATCCGCCTGCGAGCAGGGCCCAGGAGACCCATGGTGAGCAACTCGAAGACGTTCCTTTTGGTCTGATCGTCAATGGCAAAGGCGGAATCAAAGGGGTGCTCAACTTCCAGCGCCTTCTCAAGGAACTCACCCTTAGAGTGAAAGACTCCAAACGTGGAGCCCTGAGTTGAGCCGCTCCCGCCAACACCCCGATCTGACGCGAGCTCGCGAAACTCACCACTTTCAGGGCGGACATTTGTGAAGGATTTGTACTCAGGCACGAGAGGAGGCTTCCGATGAACCTGACGAACCAAAGGCCTAGGCAGGTTTGGCGGCTGGGCATTGACCAGCGGGCACAGGAGGCGAACGTACTGTTCGCACAAAGGCAAAGGATACTCGGCCTCGGAAGCCGTGTCGAATTTCCAAGAAGAGGCCGCACCTCTGAAGATGCGGTACGGCTCGTGAGGGTGATCATTTTGACAAGAAGCCACCAAGGAGCGAAGCTCGGGCACATTGGTCAAGAACCTGGAAGTTTTGCGACGGCGACCGCCCCAGCAGCATTGATCAAAATCAAAAGTGAACAGCTCGGAGTACCATGACCGAAAGCGAGGCTTGTCAAGCGCGCGCACAAAGTGGGCTAGAACACTCCACATCCAAGAACGAATGGGGTTCTCAATGACAATGCGCCAGCCTTGATCATGTGCTCGCACAAGCACTTGCACCACGAACTCGGCCAGTCGGTTGGCGGCCTCCACTCTAGCAGACTCCTGAGGACTCAAGGAAGGGAGGCCCAAGACGTGCACATGGTCTCGTAGCGGGCGAGGCTGAGGAGCACCACGGGCTCGCAGATGTTGGGGAAGTGGCGCCTCGCGGGCACGCGATCCTGTGCCACAAGGCAACCCAAAGTGAATCAAGAAGACACTGGAATTCTCGAGGCGGCTCAAGAAGATCTGTTGGCAAATCGGCAATGTCAGGTCAAGCGTGCACACAGGATGCTCAGGCTGATGCGGGTTCCGAGGGCCATCAAAGGGCATGACCTTGAAACCAACCCGGGCGAACGTAGCTGACAAGCGAGCACAGCCAGCGAACACCTCAACAAAGGCAGGAGCATTCGGAGGCACAGGAGGAAAGCCGGGCGAAGCTGCAGCGACATGCGCCGGCGCATCTGACGTTGAAAGCTGGCTTGCCAAATGCAGATTATTTACACCCGGGTAAGGGGGCCTAAACCCTAGGGATGCTAGGGTCTGGGCGTCCTTTGCAGAAAGGCGATCGGAGCCCCTGAGGCTGAATGCCACAAGAACGACCCGCTGACCTGTCCAGTCACAGGTCCCGTGGCGTCGAGTCCGGGCATCAAAGAAGACGCCTGGCTTGACATCCAAAAGGGCCTCAGAACCCTGCGGCCCGCCTTCAAGTCGAATCTGTCCGCTTTCGAAGGAAGACAGGGCAATGGCAAAGTTCAAAGTGCCCTCCAGATTATTAGGATCTAGGTGCATCTCAGTCCGTAAGTTCGCAAAGACAGCAATGTTACTGAAAACAAACTCCTCAGGAGTGTTTTCCACTACAAAACGGCAAAAGGGTTTGATACTCTCAGCATGCAAGGCGCAAGACCGGCGTAGACCGGCCAGCACACCGAAAATGTAGGCCCCAGCTTGAAACACCTTCGTTGAAGAAGTCGATCCAGGGCGAGGCGCAACCTCATTAGGCAGCGACTCGAAAAGGTCGAGAAGGGCCGTCGCCTGAAGACGGGGAGCAGCGTCATGCACCGAAGCCTCAGAAGTGTCACCACCGAGTCAGGCCCCGCCGAGCGGGCAAGCGCTATAGCTGTGCTCCTTGAAACACTTCCAACATATATGGAAACCTCGTCTGCACCGCTTGCCATCCTTGGCAAACTTACAGCCCGCCCTGTTGTACGCAAAGCATATTGGCTTGCCATTGTGTTTGGCACTGCATCCAGATGGGAGGTCCACTTGCGCAGCCCCTCCTGCGGGAGCACCGGTCGATGCTTTCCCTTTTCCCTTGCCTCCAGCTCCCTTCTTGCCCTCCCCTTTGCCATCATAAGGAGAGTAGCGGAGAGGCTTCTGCGGTGGCATCAAGAAGAACTGCACCTGAGGATGGTTCTTGAGAAGCTCGAGCTGCTGTTGCAAGGGCTTAGCACCATCCGGGCGAGCAGTGAGAGAGCCCCGGGTTTGCTCTGCGATCCTGATGAATAAGTGCTTATCAGCTTCTCGGATTTGGCCCATTGAGACGTAGAGGGCATTGGGAGGTGGAGGCCGAGTGAGGAGCTGGAACAACTCCTCATGGTAGGTTTCCATGACAGCATAGTCACACAAGCGGGCGAGGTCATACGCCAACGCGCGCCTCTGAAGCGCTTGTCGAGCTTGGAGCTCACCTGTCAGAGTACACTGGCTCTCCTGCATCTTCTTAGTCAGCCTCATGTTGCCCTGAGCATCAAACAGGATGGCGTTGTCGGAGCGAGAATGCGTCAACTCATGAGCCCGACTTGTCAACTTCTCCCAAGGCAACCACGTCAGCTGCTGATCCGCGCCCTGCTGGAAGACAACATCCACAAGGCGGTGAGAAGGTTCAGACTCACTGTTGATGCACACGCCCACAAGGCGCTTTTTCTGCTCATCCAGACGTGTTGTTCTTTCCGCTATGGCTAGACGAACTGGTTCAGCAGAGTCATTTCTTTCTACTTTCTGCTTCAACTCCCCCATCACTGTGGTCGAGGCTTCGAACCACAATCGCCTGACTGGGATCAGCTCCTTCGCGGTCAAGTCGCGCCCTATCAGGGCTTTGAGGGCTTCAAGAAGAGGTTTCTCGTCTGCTTGACCGATTTGATAGGGGCTCACAAAGGCTAGCGCGCCCATCGTCTTCACGTTGTTGTTCACAAGCAAATCCAAGAGAGCGCGCTCCATGCCGAGCTCGGTGGCCCGGGCAGCGAACGTGGCTTCGCTGTCAATTGTCGAATTCATGGCTGCTACTGTCCCGTCCTTCAAGGACGGCCTGAACTGCGCTCTTCCTCGCTCTAGCCAACAAGTCAGGACTGTCGTCAGCAAGGCAACTTTGGATGCAGCTCAGAGAATCAGAACCACCAAGAGCTCGGCACAACGCCCGTAGGACTGCCTGCCCCACTCGCGCCTGCAGTCAAAATTCCTTTCGCGCGAGACAAGGTCACACTGTTACTGTGGTGAGGCCACGGAATGCCCAAAGTGAAGAGCGCCCCACGACCTTACGCCCTCGACGCCCAACGGACAACGCCCCGACGTGGGGTCTCCGTTAGGTCAGGATAAGGTGAGGCTCAAATCATCTGAGGAGTCATAGCGACTCGCCTCCACCCTTTACGCCCTCGACGCCCAACGGCCAACGCCCCCAGTAGGGGGACTCCGCCAGGTCTGGCAAAGGTGAGGCTCGAATTGTCTGGCGAGTTTGCTCCTGCTCTTGCGCCCTCAACGCCCAGCGGTCAACGCCCAATTGGGGCTCCGCCAGGTCAGGCCCAGGAACACACGACAAAATTTCGGACTCTGACACAGAACTCACCCCTCGATCCCAAAATCACTGCTGGTACTTCTGCGAGCACTGAGCGCATACCGGCAAGTCTCGGAGGGGAACATCCGGATCGATGGCCTCATAGTTTGGAGAGAGGTTCCTCCCACATAGGAACTTGGATCCTTTCAGGATGTGCACCACCCTCGAGTAGACATGCATCCGACTATCTTTAGCAATGTCCAGCTCAGCTGCACTCAATCGCTCCATCGAGGCGCACGCTCCTCCAGCGGCCATGTCCCCGTCGCCGAAGTCGCCTTCCTCGTCATCGGACTCCTCCATAGAGGGATCGCCTTGCACAGTCTGTTCAATAAGCAGCTCCGTGCCACCAGACTCAATCAGCTTCGCGAGGCGCCAGACCTTCGAGGCATCCGGCTTGAAGGCTCCTTTCCTGATCTTTTCCACCACAAGATGAACTACCTTCATGAGTCGGGTCTGCTCGTCCCTCGCATAAGTAAGCGGCGACACCACTCCCGGATCTATGTGATGCCCCAGCAAACGTCGATCAGCGAGAGGGACATCCGTGGATTTTGCAGCCCAAGACAAGACAGTGCACTTCAGAGAATGACACCCTAAACCAGCAGTCATCTGGGAAGCCGCGGTCATGAACTCCCTAAGATAACAAGTGGCCTCCCCCGTGGACATAGGACGGTTAAGCCACTCACCAGTCACCTCGGAGAAAGCCGGGAGCGCCGGGCCGAGGCCAAGACCAGCAGCCTCGCGCTCCTTAGCCCAAACTTCTCCCCACGACTCCTCAGCGAAGAACTTTCCCAAGGAGGCCAAAGGAAGGAGCTGGTCCTTCCTCGAAGCCGTCTTCCACTTCGAGCTCTCTGCCTCAACCAGGGTAACACCCTGAGCAGTGCTGACCTTGAGGCTGGTCAGCTGCAAGGAATCGGCGAATCGGCAGCTAGACCCTATGCACATCAAGAGGTGACCCGCAATGATTCGCCAATGGGGGTACGGGGACTTCAGGACCACGTACTCCAGGCCTTTCACCTGCTTCACTGTCAAAGGTACTGCCTGAACAAGCTTCCTCTTCAAGGAGTACATGCGCTGCGCAGCACCCTTCACTCTAGCAGACAAGGCCCCCAAAGCGTCCGGGCTACAGAGCTTCAAAGTGTGGACAGCGAAGTTCCAGGCCTGAAGGAAAGCCGAGGCGGATGTCGGCTTGCCATGTTCCTCGAGGTGCGACATGTATCGGTACAGAACCTTCTCGCCAGCCCCGAGCGGATTTCCCAGACCATTGTCAAAACAAAAGTTGGCAAACCTCCAAAGCGACGAGGCTCTCTTCACTAAGGTAGCTGTACTCTTGCCATGGAAGACATCCAAGAAAGTTCGCCTCATCTGATCGCCGTCTCGCAGAATCAAAGCCTCAGCCGCAAGTGACTGCCCCACCTGAGACAGCGCCGGGTCAAGCAAAACCAGCGTCCTGAACTTCCTCAGAGCTTCCCAGCGAGAACTGTCGTCTGTAGCCAGGAGAGCTGCAATCCTAAGACGCTCCCTTGCAAAGTTGGGCACCGGCTGTGGATGCACCAGAGGCACCCCCGCATCAACAGCAGATCCTGAATCGGGAGACAGGTCCCGAGGTAGCTCCAGACGCGGCCTCTTGAGTGGCCTACCAAAGATCCAAGAAAGGGGACCCGTCTCCCAAGGGAGAAGAGGAGTCTTTCGAGACGCCTCGCCCACCTTTATGTGCCAAGACAAGTCCTTGATGAGAAGAGACTGAGCATCCAGAACAAGCGGCCTCTCGGCAGCGACCAAGGCCGCATGAAATTCGGATGGCCCAAGCAAAGCGTCTGAGTTAGGCTGACCCGCCATATCCCAATTGAAAAGTCAGCAAAGGTCAAAATTATGGCAGATCTGAGGCAGACTGCACGCCAGGCTCAAGAAACACCCGACAGGCAGTCCTCAAGCTCTGAATAATCCCTTCGAGCCACGAGAGACGTTGGTGGTGGCCGGTCTGGTTCACCCAGGCACGAGCAAGGGACTCTTCCAAAGCCTGCAATGCGGACCTGAGAGTCTGGATTTCAGCACGGAGGGCGTTGACCTCCAATTGGAGTTCGTAAATGTGCTGACTGTGAAGCTCGCGGGTGCTGGTAGAGCTGTCCTCGGAACGGCCTGAAGAACCAGCGGCGAGGGCGTCGCCGAAGTCCATGGGACGAAAGAAAAATTGTTCAGTCAACGGTCATTGCAATGTGTTTCCCAGCTATGTGCATGTGCTGACACGTGACCTACGGACACACTGAACTTAGGCCAAAGGCTTTTGCACTCGAACAACTGATTCCACGTCAAAGTAAAAGTGTGACATGAAATCAAGAGCGCACGGATTTTAAATAAGTTGTAAAATTTGAAATTCCTACGTTTCGCGTCGCCTCTATGGGCGACTATAAATCAAAGACAACTCTGTCCGCCCGCGGAGAACGTCTTCACAGGTGCGATGACCCCGTCTCCGGCCAAAAGCTCTAGCGGGCTCTCAGCCCTGCCGCCCCGAGCAATCCAAGGCACGGCCCCCAAGGATGAGGCCATGCCAATCCGAGGTTCCCTTCGCGGCTATTTTACAGCGCACGAAGATCTCAGGACCCTCGCTGCAGTTGTCCGGAGAGAGTCCCTCGAGGAAACGGACTCTCAGCACGACGGCCCCTTTCAAGGGCACCGGCTTTCCTGCAGCGATCCCGTGACGAACTCCGGGTGGACCCAGCGCTCGAATTTCACGACAGGAAACCTCCGGTCCTCCGTGCCGATCCCCAAGGCAGCAGCCCTGTTGAGGATCCCACAGAGGAGTTCCTCCGTGATGTGGTTCGAGCCTGCACACCCGTCCAGCATGCATTCCACCATGCCGTCGACGACCTGAACGACCGTCCGGTACTGGTAGCCTCCCACCTCGTTCTCGCAGAGGTGCCACCAGTCCTGAGGCAGCTCGTCCACCGAGCTGAACTTCGACGACGAGCTCTTGGCAAGCGGGAATGCGGAGGAGTTCGCCGCAACGACCGTGCCAGCGCTCCCAATCTGGATGGAGAGCGTAGCGAAGGGATTCACCATCCCGGCGCCACTCGGGGCCGCCCAGTTCGAAGGCAACGCGGCTCCCCCAGTGGCGGGAAGCGAATGGACCATGTCACAGTCCGCTCCCTTACGGCACGACCCGTTCTTCTTGAAGAAAGGGCAGATAGTCCCTGGCGGCTTCGCGCCCGCCTTGGACTTCGCCTTGGGCTTGGCCTTGGCCTTGCCTTTGGGCTGCCCTCCGGGTCCACCCTTGCCCTTGCCCTTGCCCTTCCCCGGCGTCGCCGCCAGGGTGGACGCGTCTCGCTCCTTTTTGGCCGCCAGGGCCTTTTTACGGAGCTCCTTGTCGTGCGAGTAAGGGCACGCGTCCCCTTTTGGGCAGTTACCGTGGTCGCGGAAATGGAAACAGATAGGCTTACCCTTTCCATTTCCCTTTGGACCTGCGGCAAGCGTGGAAGAGGCGGCCGCCTTGGCCGCGGCCTTGGAAGCCTTGAGTTCCGTTCTCAGCTTCTCGACCTCCTTCCGCGCTGCGGACAGGGCTGGGTCTTCAGTCGAACCTGCATACACGCTATTAGCCGTCACCGGATGCGCAGCCTCACGCTGCTCATATTCGAGGACGACCTTATACGCTTCTTCCCAGGTCGAAGGGCCTCGAAGCCCTGCGGATGAGCCGTCGCTAGACCACAATCGCTTATCACCGCGGATCTCTTTTTGGAGGTGGGGCGGCATCTTTCGCAGGTAGCTCAGAAAGAGCTCCCTCGATGTCTTGCCGAGACCCACACTCTCCAACTCCGCGATGGAGGCTTCGAACAGGGGCTCAAACTGATGCCCTGTAAGCCTGCCTTTTGTGAGGGCGACGTGCTCCGCGTCCACCCTCATCTCCTTCTCCTCTCGGCTTTCGCCGAAGACGAGATGCCGCTGCTTGATCCTTTCGTAAACCGCCTGAGGATCATCGTTGACTTCGCCCGTTTTCGAGGCAGCCTTATACACATTCGAAAAGGTCTTAAGCCTCGAACCGCGGCATCGAGCGCGAAGTGCGATGAGCTTCTCCCGGAAGTTCATCCCCTTGCAGTTGTTAGCAAGGCCACAGACGTCTTCGAACTCTTCGTAAAACTGGACGACGTCCCGAACGTCGGAGCGGTCGTCCGTGAGCGAAGGCCAGTGGAGGTCCGTCTTCACCGTAGTGATCGACGTCTGACCCCCACGAGACGCCAAGGCTTCCTTGAGCGCCTCCGTCTGGGCCGCTAACGCAGCAGCGAGCTCTCCGGCTCCGCCGCTGGCGGAAGGAGGCTCGCCGGGCTTGTCCTTCTTAAGCCCCTCAAGCTCTATTTCCAGAGCCGTGAGGCGGGACTTCAGGGGTGACTCCCCCAGACCAGGCAGCGGGTCCTCGGGGATGGCAAGCTGAAGATCCAGAGGGACAGGCGCAGGAGCCTGAGCCTTAGAGCCCGACTCCCCCACGGCGCCCGTCCGGGCCGCCAGGGCCGGAACGGATGAAGGTGTACTCCACACCTTGTCCGGATCGCCGCTGCTCTTGCCTCCCAGGGCCAAGATCAGCTCCCCGAGGCACGAGATCTCCTTTTCCATCTCCTCTCGGTCTTCCGACCCAAGAGAAACCGCCGCCACGGTGAACCTGGTACGCAGAGCTCGCACCATCCTGGCAGGGTGCCAATCGCCTCCCATCTTGCCGTACTCTTCGGCAAGGATGGTGGCCTTAGTGGTGATCTTCTCAAGATCCTCCACAGTGACCTCTGCCTGGTGCGCCTTCAAGGCCACAACAAGCCTCGAAACTCGCGTCAGGTACTCCGCGACCGGTTCCTGGTCGGGGCGGTAGAGCTCCCGCAGATCCGACTGCAGGGACTCTGCCGTAACGGGACCGGTAGAAGCTCTTCAGAGCTGGGGCCTGGATCTCCTTCCAGAGCACCCACACCTTCAGGGGCCGGAACTTCCTCGTCTTCCTCTTCATCTTCTTCTTCCTCCTCGGCATCAAACCCTGCCACTCCAACGTCGCCCCAGCGAGAAGACATTCCGGTAAGTTTACAGAAAAGGACAACATATATTAAATATGAGCCTGCGTCGCCAGACTCAGAGACATACAATAATATGGATTTGCAGATGTTGCAGCACATCAAAATCATGATTCTTGTAAGCCCTTACAGTACCCCGAATGGGGAATATCGAAGCGAGTTTGAGCCTTATCGGATTGATCATAACCGATTTGAGCCCAATTAGAGTTTAGGGTTTGAGCCCAATTAAGGTTTAGGGTTGAGGGTCGTCAAAGCCTGTTTGGGTCTTGGGGTTTGGGTTTAGGATTTAGGGTAAGAGCGGTTGTGTTCGAGTAGTCAGAGTCTAGGATTTAGGGTTACTGCGGGTCGTTCGGGTGAGATGTTTGGGTCCTGGCCAGCGGTTTCGGATTTAGGGTCACAGCGGTTTTGTTCGAGTGGTGTCTCGGGGTTGAGGGTCCAGGATTTAGGGCTGCAGCGGGTCGTTTGAGGTCGTTCGGGTGAGAGTTTCAAAGTTTCAGATTCGCTTGAGGCTGGGATATCGTTGGGTTCTAGCTAAATGGTCGGTGTTAAGGGAACAGTACATAGCTCAAGACTGCAGGGTTTGGAGTTTTAGCTTTATTGGATAGGGTCGAGGGCGCCAGAAATGCAGTCGGCAGGGATACTTAGGCTTCGCTTCTGCTTCGAGAAGTCTCCCAAACTTGCTTGAAGGTCTACTTGGAAGGACAGGGGACTTAGTAAGTCAGTATAATTAGGGTATTTTAGGGTACTTGTAACTCTACTTATAACCTACTTACTAAGTCCCCTGCCCTTCCAATTAGACCTTCGCTTAAGGCCGTGGAGCGGTCTTTTTGCAGCCAGGGCGGAATTGTGCTTGCTGCATCCGCACCTAATTTCTAATTAAGGACTTCCACATGACGAGCTCGAGTGTCCTCTTTCGCCATTCGTTTCTGTTCTTCGCTCTCGAGCACCGATGCAGCTTCCATACCCAGATCACGAGCGGACTGCCAAGCCTTGAATATACGAAATAACAGTACGAACTATAGGTTTAGGGAATCTAGGTCTCAGGGTTGGGTTAGCATAGAATATTATCCAAGGCACAGAGTCGGAAAGAACAGCTCGCATACGGTGAAGCTTGCTGATCGTGGTTTTCCGGTGCTTCAAGAAGTACTTGATGCATTCCGCTGTGAACTTCACGGGTTTGGGCTCAGCGACATCTTCGTTGTGGATAGCCATCCCTAAAGCTATCTGCTTGGGCAAAACAACTTTAGGACAGAATGCATCGAGACCTGTACTGCTGACTCAGCACACTGGTGGCAGAGCACACTGCTGGCAGAGCTACAGCACCGAAAGCCCGTTGGCCCTTCAACTCCGAAGCTTAAGTAACCGCCCAACTACTACCCTAGTTTTAAGCTATAGACCTATATATATATATATATGTAATATAACCTTCTTAAACCGAAAAGCACAAAAGCGGCCAAACTGGGCAATTCCAAGCTTATTCGTGCTGGCTGCTGCTGCGACGGTCCACGGATCCGGCGACTAGCTCCTAGCCTGCAGTACGAAAACTACTCCAGGGAACCAGAGCCAACCCCCAGTCTTGTCTGTAGCCACTCCAAGGAACCAGAGCCAACTCCCAGTCTTGGCCGCTCTGTAGCCACAAAACCCAGGGCAGTGTAGCGGTCGCAGAGCCAGAAAGCTGTAAGCAACCAGTGCTTCAAGTCGTCGCAGCTAAGCGAAGTAAGTAGCGGCTCATCAACCGCCATTCCATCATGCTGCCTTGGCTTTCGGGGTTTAATTAGTTTTATAATTAGGGTCTAGTTTAGGGTTTAGGGTTGTCTGAAGCATATGGAAAATAATCGAAGAAGCTGAGTTGCAGGGTGAGGCAACACATAACAGTTTCCATTGCCCTATGCAGTCTTCGTCTTGGAAGGTATGAAAAGCTCGCGGGTTTACCCGCTCCCAGGCCGCGATCTCGCTGATATGGCGAAGCATCTTAGTATACACATAGTACAAGACACATAGTATACATGACTTCCCAGGTTTCGGCACTTATCCCTCGGGCTCCAACAGGTTTAAAGTAGGTACCAAACCACGAGGAGCCCCAGGGTATATATATATATATATATTGAAGAAAAGAAAAAGTAGAACATTAGGA